CATGAGAGAACCGACAACCTTACCCCAAGCACTACATTTATGTCAAAAACTTGACAACATGACATATAGAATAAATCATGCCAACAATACACACAAAGCAAATATTCAATCACCACCACGACCTCCTCGAAATAAAAATTTTAATAACTATAATAACAATGGAGTTTTTTACCCCGAATTAACATGTAACCACTCGCCTAGACGAAATTTCAATCAAACCGATATCCCCAAAACTCTCCCAACTATATGCAAAATAACCAAGGATTCATATCAAGGCTCAACAATTACCCGAACAACCCCCATATTACTAGAGAAAATACCTCCTTTAATAATAGGCCAAATTTACCACCTAAACCACCGACCCAAATGGAAGTCGACCAATCAATACGATCAAGACAAATCAATTATCAGAATAGGCTCAATACATTCTAGGACAATCGACCACCCAAACGTCCGATTTTCGCACAACTGACTCATCCTCCAAGCAAAATACAAAGACATTTTTTTACTAAGAATTAGACCCTAACGGGATATACGATGACAATCTCTACGATAGCAATTACGATAATGCAAGTAAAAATGAACCTGATACTATTAATTTTTTTGATTAGCGCCGTCTTCGCTGCCTTATTACGAATTTAGAACAAGGCGCGGAGACGCGATAGATTTTCTTATTGATACCGGATCCAATAAGAACTACATTCAATCCACTAGAATTACGAATCCCATTCCGAATGAAAAGCCCTTTACAGTGAAATCGGTTGCCGGAGCAATAGAAATTACCCACCATACCTTTGTCGACATTTTTGGACCAACCAGACAGGAAAAATAAGAATTTTCATACTACCAACTCTAGGGTCGTTCGACGGCATAATAGGCAACGACACACTTAAAGAATTAAAAGCAATTATTCATGCTGACAAAAATTTAATGACAATTTGTCAAAGTATGAATATAACGTTAAAACAACGAATATCCCACGAAGTGAATAATGTGGCAACCAATATCCACATCTTTCAGTATAACAACAAAACAAAATTAATAATATTATCGATAAATGTCCAAACCTTTTATCCGATCCGGATGAAAAACTTACCTACACCACCCTCGTAAAAGGCGAAATCCGGACAACAACTGAAACCCCCGTCTACTCCAAGCCATACCCGTACCCCATGGCATTAAAATACGAAATCGAACGCCAAATTGAAGAACTCTTAGATAACGGAATAATMAGGAGATCGAAATCTCCGTATAACTCCCCAATTTGGATAGTTAACAAAAASTCAGATGCCTCTGRCGAAAAAAAATWTCGAATGGTCGTAGATTATCGTAAACTCAATTCAGTTACGATCCCTGGTAAATACCCCATACCAGAAATTAACGAAGTCCTTGCAAATCTGGGAAACAATAAACTATTTACTGTTATAGCCTTAAAAAGTGGGTTCCATCAGATTCCACTTCGCTTGACCGCAGACATTGAAAAAACCGCATTTTCCGTAAACAACGGAAAATATGAATTCCTACGCTTACCTTTCGGTCTAAAAAATGCTCCAGCGACATTCCAAAGAGTACTATACGATATCCTTCGTCAACATATAGCAGTAAGATGCTATGTTTACATCGATGATGTAATAATGTTTAGCAAAAACGAAGATGAACATTTTAAAAATATAGAATAAGTACTTCAAACCGTAGAAAATGCTAACATGAAAATCCAATTAGGCAAATGTACATTTGCTAAAGAAGGAGTAGAATTTTTAGGATATGTAATTAGTTCAAACGGGATAAAAACCAACGCCGAAAAAGTAGAAGCGGTAGCTAAACTCCCAGTTCCACAAGCCCTTAAAGAATTAAGATCTTTCCTAGGTATGTCAGCACTGTTAAGAGGAGAAGCTGGTCATGTCTCCAAACGGAACTCGAAAAATATAGAAATAGAATTAGACAACGAATGCTCAGAAGCATTTAATAATATAAAAAAATACTTTAGTATCCAATTATATAGTTTTAGCGTATCCAAATTTCGACAAAGATTTTGAACTAACGACCGACGCCTCAGATTTCGCATTAGGTGCCGTCCTATCGCAAGACGGTAGACCAATTACTTTCATATCGAGAACTCTAAGTAAGGCCGAAGAACATTATGCCACCAATGAGAAAGAAATGCTTGGTATAATATGGTTACTTAATTCACTTAGAAATTACCTCTACGGTCAAAAAAAGTTAAAATTATCACCGATCATCAACCTCTTACCTATGGCTTAAGCCATAAGAACACTAATAGTAAAATGAAGCGATGGACAGCCATTTTAGAAGAATATAACTAAGAACTAACTTACAAACCTGGTAAAACAAATGTAGTTGCAGACGCCCTTTCAATGATACCAATACAAATAAACTCACTCACACCTACGATTCATGGTGAGGAAAGCTCGAGTCATAATTCAATCCCTTGTACAGAAGTTCCAATTAATGTTTTCAAAAATCAAATTTTTTTCAAGATTGACGAAATATCTTCATACCAATTTAAAATAATTTTTCCAACAGTTCGCAGGCATATAATTACAGAACCAGAATACAACGAACAGTTATTGATTTCTTACATGAAACGATACCTTAAGCCATCTGTTATAAATGGAATTCATACAGAAGAAAGGATAATGGGTATGATGCAAAATATCTCATTTTAGGAACATTAAAAGCTGATATACCCAAAAATTAGTTGAAGATATTAATAATGAACAARAACAGGAGAACGTCATATTAAAAGAACATCTAAGAGCACATAGGAATGCCACTGAAAATAAAACACAAATTCTCGAAACAAAATATTTTCCCGGTATGCTAAATAAAATAAAACGAATAATAGGCAACTGCACCGTCTGTAAACAAAACAAGTACGAGAGACATCCTAACCAACCGAAAATTGCAGAAACTCCATTACCAACATATCCAGGACACACAGTTCATATCGATATATTTTTAACAGAGGGAAAGATAGTTATGACAGCTCTAGATAAATTTACAAAATACGCAGTAACAAAAAGCCTGAATAGCAGAGCAATAGAAGACGTCAGATATTCCTTAAGAGATATTATATTTTTCTTCGGAGTACCAAAATTAATAGTTATCGACAATGAGGCATCTCTAAACTCAGCCTCTTTAAAATTTATGATGAAAGACGAATTAGGAATAGAAGTTTACACTACTCCTCCATATAAAACCCATACTAACGGACAAGTGGAAAGGTTCCACTCTACATTAATCGAAATAATGCGCCGCATAAAAGAAAACGGTATAAATAATATTTCAAAAAGTCCTTTGCCAAACTGCACGGAGGTCAACAACCAGCATATCCCAACTATGGAGGAAATGGGACCTGGAATAATACTTCTAAATTAATACAACGGAGAAATTTCAATAAATAAAGAATCTACATTTTTAAACGGGACCTTCCTCATTTTGTACACCAACGTAACCATTGTTATCAACGGAAAAAGTTCTATAACGAAAGAAAGAACAGCAAGTACCAGCTATCCTACAACCGTCATCCGCACCACTCAACATAGAATAATTCCTCTCGCTGGAGATGCTCAAACAGCTCACTTCAACAGTACAAAAGAAGTAAGTCTGTTAGAAGCAGCAAACAGAGTCAAATACGGAACCAGCATCACTCTAATCGTCTTTTTAATAGTCATCGCCTTAATTTTCGTGAAGAATCTTTTGATTAAACAAAAAGTAGAGGAACCCAATAATCTGTCACAACCGGCAAGGTCTCAACCAAATTTTCAATACACCTAAAGATTCAAACGAGGACGTTTGAATTTCAAGGGGGGACTAGTTAGCACCCCATACATTCAAAAATTATCATATGATGCGTTAATATTATATGATACAAAGTAATATAATATGACACCACTAAATCGCTGAGAGTGCGACACGTGTAGTGGCAACCTTTGGGAAGCGCAGTGTCAGCAGCTTCATACCCGTTGCAGCGGAAAACATAGGTCTAGAATTATACTTATAATTAATTGTAAATTGTAGTTCTTTAGTGAAACTCAATAAAGGAGCATAGCTGCAAGAAAATATTTTTTTTTATAAAATTAGCAATACGTTTTTTAACTTATATATGTACAATACTCATTACAGAAGAATAGGCATATAAAGTAAGATATAAATCTAGGGGAATACATGACCTGTAGAATATGCTAATAATATATCAGATATGAATTGTCTTTTCTCTCTAAATACTGAATATAATGATGCTCAAATTTGATGTCCCAAACCCGGACGCGGTATTTTACTAATTTCGGTTAATAAGAAACAGTAATTTCTTATTAATCGCTTAAAAAAGACATCATGACATATTTTTCTTGACTTAAGTTCACAACAATTGCGCGAATATCAAATTACTTGCCCATCCCTTATAATTTTTAATAAGGTGTCGGAGTCTTCTTAAATATTGCACGTAACATTACGGCTTGCATATTAAAGTCTGTCTTAACATGGTTAACTTTTTTGATACTTACAATTTGTTTCAGTTATTGGATTACTTAAAAATTTTTGAGCTTTATTATGTGCTTCACACTTATTCGTAGGATTACGTAATAACTGTATCCACTATAAGTTTGAAAGTTCTTACAATCTTTAAAGATTATTTTATTTGTTGTCTCATTTTACTATAATATTGACATTTAAATTTATTATTTTAGTCTTCAAATTTTTTTTTATGTCCATGAGTTTCAGAAGAAATAGGCGACTGAAATGTAATACGTATTTTATTTTTTGCTATCGCTGAAACTGTTGCTCACAGAAAAACCCAATTCTGTTTGTGTGGCGCTTTTATAATGCATCAGTTTATACACTATGATGTAAATCGGCAAATGCTCCCTTAATTTTAAACAACAATAGTATAACGATACACACAAAGTTATTTAACAGCTTTAATCGCATTTCCTTCGCATCGCTTTGATTTTGAGCTCTTACTTAATTTTATGACCTCTTTATGATTGAATATAATTTCCCCCTCGTTGCCAAGTCTGCCATTTAACTGCAATCCCCTTTCAACGGTAACATGTGTAAACATTAAATGTTATTTAAGCACGTCAACATTAAGAGGAACTTAAATCTGAATTCTTATTACTTAGAGCAATGCATAGAAGCTAATTTAATAATCCCGTGAATGACCTAATAAAAATATCTCTTTCAATACATGTATGTGTGCGCATTGTTAAACTTATGCTAACTTACCTAAAGCAAATTACCTTACATACTATATAAAAATTAAAAGCTATTGCGTTATATGCCCGCATAACGTCCAAACCACAGCACGGAAAGACATGAGAATTTGCACATGTATTCCTTTTGTTCTGAAGAAGGTCCCAACAGAAATATGTTTCACCGATCGATTTTACAATACGAGTATATACAAGTATCACTATATAGTATAAACAAAGTTGTTTCCTCTATGTCTGCTTAAATCTTTAAAACTCCGGGATGGTATACTACTATCAAATTAAAACCTGAATTTTTATTTTTATACTTCGCGAGTTTTCGAATCGGTAATTTTTTTTTGTAAGTTAGCAGTACTATTACAAACATCTATGGTAAATTTCACGTCAAAATATTCATTAGTATTTGAGATACGCGTCGTTTTGTGAGGATCTAAAAGTGAATTCTTCGAGTTTTACTATGTCTAAATTTATTGAACAAGGAAGTGCGATAATCCACAATCTCATACTTCATTGGTTATTCGTGATCATTTCGCCATATTCTCAACTAATATCGCAACCACCTTCTTCAATTCAGCAAATTCACATGACCACTCCGAGGACACCCTTTTGACTCAATTGAGAATATAAAAGCTGAATCGAAGAAGACTCTGATGGCCATCACGATGAAGGATTTTTCCAAGTGCTAGGATGACTGGAAAATTCGTTGATATAAGTGTATTGGAGTTGGAGGGGATTACTTTCATGAAGATGAAATGGACAAAATACACCTTTCAATTTGACCAACATGTCTATCTCTTATGGATATGACACAATAACATTTTTTGTCATTTACTTTATACCAGAAATAATGGCTAATTTTCGATGCGATTTTAACCAATACAGTATTAATCCTTGTCCAATTAAATTCTTTAATTACGTTGTTGATTTTGTATAAATTTTTCTATACGATGTACGTTTGATTTAAGTGAATGAATGAATCGAAGATATTACAGATTGCGGAACGTAGCACTTGCGGCGGATACGTGCTTATAAATAACGCGTCGAAGGCCGCGGTTCTCCCTATAGCACTTTGAATTAAGCAGCGTTAATTATCAGAGCTCTCTAACGAGAATTCTATATATATATATATGCATATATATACATATATCTAATATATAAAATTTTCATGTCACAATGTTAGTTACTGCATTCCCCCGAAGCGGCTTTACCGATTTTTACCAAATTAATTAATTTAAGAGACATGGCGGTCATTGACCTTGAACGAGATGAGATCAGAAATTATCAAGTGTGTCGACACATGAACCGCAATGAAGAGCTTTGTAGGATATTTACTTCTGCATGATATCAATATCATCTGCCTACGCCAGCAGCTGTACACTCTTAGAGAAGATGGTACCTTCTCTATTTAGTTCTGCAGCTTGAATTATTTGCTGCAGAAGCAATTTGAAGAATTCGCACGATAAAGAGTCGCCTTGTCTGAAACCTCGTTTGGTATCGAACGGCTCCTTCCCGACTCTGACGGAGCTTTTAGTGTTGCTCAACGTCAGTTTACATAGCCGTATTAATTTTGCGGGGATACCAAATTCAGACATCGCGGCATAAAAGCAGCTGCTTTTCGTGCCATCGAAAGCAGCTTTGAAATCGACGAAGAGGTGGTGAGTGTCGATTCTCCTTTCACGGGTCTTTTCCAAGATTTGGCGCATGGTGAATATCTGGTCGGTTGTTGATTCTCCAGATCTAAAGCCACACCGATAAAGTCCAATCAGTTTGTTCACGGTGGGCTTTAATCTTTAACACAATACGCTCGATAGAACCTTATATGCGATGTCGAGGAGGCTTATTCCACGGTAGTTGGCGCAGATTGTGGGGTCTCCTTTTTTGAGGATTAGGCATAGCACACTTATATTCCAATCGTTGGGCATGCTTTCATCCGATCATATTTTACAAAAAAGCTGATGCATGCTCCTTATCAGCTCTTCGCCGCCGTGTTAAAATAGCTCCGCCGGCAATCCATCAGCCCCCGCCGCCTTGTTGTTCTTCAGGCGGGTAATTGCTATTCGAACTTCTTCATGGTCGGACAATGGAACGTCTGCTCCATCGAGCATTTCCGAGCATTACCCCTGTTGGCCTGTTTATCAAGCTCTTCGTAGTCACGCATTTCGGCCTCTTTCTTTTTCTGTCTGCAAATGCGTCTCGCTTCTCTTTTCAACTCTCGGTATCTATCCAATCTCGCACGTGTTGTGGTCGATCGCAACATTGCGAGGTAAGCAGTCTGTTTTCTCTCCGCTGCGACGCGGCGTTCCTCGTCGTACCAGCACTCTCCCAAAACGAATGGTTTCCGTTGCAGCTATACGTAAGGAGTTTGAAATGCCGTGCCACAGTTCCCTTATACCGAGTTGTTGACGAGTGCTCTCACAGAGCAGGAGTGCAAGCCGAGTAGAAAATCGTTCGGCTGTCTGTTGTGATTGCAGCTCTCGACGTCGAACCTTCCTTGTGTTTGATGGCGTGCGTTTTTTTCTGCACAAAGGTGCGTGCAAATCTTGGCTACAACAAGGTAATGGTCCGAGTCGATGTTAGGACCTCGCAGTGCACGCACATCTAAAACACTGGAGACGTGTCTTCCGTCTATCACAACATGATCGATCTGGTTATGGTTTTTCGATCCGGAGACCGCAAGGTAGCTAGATGAATATTCTTATGCTCGAATCTAGTACTAGAGATAACCGTATTTCGGGCCCCGGCGAAGTCGATCAGCCTCAACCCATTTGTGGATGTTTCCTCGTGGATTCTGAATTTACCGATCGTAGTGCCAAAGATACCTTCTTTGGCCACCCTGGCATTAAAGTCGCCAAGCACGATTTTGACATCGTGGCGGAGCAGCTCTCATAAGTGCTTTCCAAGCATTCATAAAAGGCATCTTTGGTCACATCGTCCCTCTCTTCCGTCGGGGCGTGGGCGCAAATCAGCGATATGTTGAAGAGCCTCGCTTTGATGCGGATTATGGCTAGACGTTCATTCACCGGGGTGAATGATAGTACTCGGCGACGTAGTCTCTCTCCCACTACGAATCCCACACCAAACTTGCGCTCCTTTATATGGCCACTGTAGTAAATGCCACAAGGACTTACTCGTCTCTGTCCTTGTCCCGTCCATCGCATTCCTTGGACTTCGGTGATGTCAGCTTTTATTTTCCTGAGGACATCAACTAGCTGGCAGCAGGATCTTCCCAATTAAGGGACCGGACATTCCATGTGCATGCCCTCAATTCGTGGCACTAATTTCGTTTTCCATGGTCGTCATAAAGAGGGGGGTCTCTCTTTCGAGCCTGTTGGTCCTTTTTCATAGGTAGTGTTTTTTTACGTGACGGGTCTCAGACCCAGCACCCAACCCTATGTAGGGGATATTTCGATTTCTCACTTTAGCTCGCCTTGAAACGGATGTTCTTAGGCCACCCAGAGGATATTTGGTCAAAGACCGGAAGTCGGGAGCTGCTTGAGTCATATGTAAAAGAATCGTTTCTGGCCACCCCCAAGCGAATGGCGATCAGAGAACTTTCCTCACTTGCGTGAACTTCTACGCATGACTCCATCCATTGAATGACGACCAAAAATTGCTCAGAATCTAATATTCGAAGAACATCATTAAAGAGGTTTATTGGACCAAAACACACATTTTAAATATTAGTCACGCCGCGTATTCACCTGATGTCTTCCTCTTAAAAAAGACCATGAAAGGAATGCAAAGGCCTGCCACACCCGCCAACGAGCTAAAACATTCGTAAAACAGAGAAAGAAAAAAAAAAGTGGTGGGGATGGGGGAGACTAATATTCTTATGCATCCATACTTACATAGTATAACCCATATACTGATTGTTGCTCCAGAAGAAGGCCCTTATTTTTATAAGAAATGAAACCGACATATTACATAAAATGAATGCGGAATAACTGCAGTGTTGATAAAAGGGTATGTTATAATGTGATATATACAGAAATATTTGCGAAGCTTGCACAGTATATGCGTACAACTTCAAACTGATCCTTCCTGAAAAAGAATCCAACTGCTTAACCCAAACCGCAATAAATAGATAATAACTGGCTCAAGAATCAGTCGATGAATATTATACCATGTGCATCCCAAAACAGTGACGCCATAACTTTGCCAGCCACCTGTTTCGTCTTTCTACCCTTGAGCATTGGTTCATAATATTCAGTCCAATAGGCTGACTGTCGACTTTCTCTTTCAACATAGCAAATCTCTTTACAAAAGTTGATTTCCATGGCGCAGAGTCCAAATTCAACAGTACTGGTATAGGTATCTTTTAAAAGTAGGGGCTGACCAGAAATCATATAGATGGTACTAGTAGTACCAACCATGTATCAGCTACAGTAAAACGTGGACGGGTCCTCTAGTGTATTCAAAACTTAAGTAAAAAAAAAATTATATTTAAAATCATAAGCACGAGCTCAACATTCATATCAGAATCATTTGATATTTGTTTTACTTAAAAAAAATAACAACATACCTTCAAAGGGCTACTGCCAAGGCTATATTAATTTTTGTTTTCATTCAAATTAATTCC